GCTAGTCTATATATAAAATGAAAATGTGTGGATACGTGTGTCTTTTCGAAATGTTTAGCATAGTTCCCAACATGCAACACACTTGAAATTTGGCATGTGGGTAGGTTCCATACTATACACAATGTAAAAAGCATAATAATAGACTTTTGTTTGGGGGGGGGGAATGACCATGAAGTGTGTGCGTCAACCCGCAACACACCTGAGTTAAGCGCTCTGCAATGCATAGAGCTGTTAACAGCGTGCCGGGAGATTTTAGGTGGCGTTTCGCTCCTGGCCGATGAGGCCATTGGCTTCTCGGAGTTCAACAGTGGCGGCTCCTGCAAAATCTCTCAGGGGGGGCAAATGTCTGGATGATTGATAAGGTCCACCCATGCAATGAATACATTTACAGCTTAAGAATGTAAAGGCAACTTCACTTCTTTAATATTAATGAAAATAAAGTGACTCTTACAATACATCTGTTTGTTATATACTCACCATTAAAACAAACCACTCAAGTTTATTTTATTAAAGATTCCACTAGGTGGCGATAAATTATATTGTTGGATGAAACGTGCTTACGTATGATGACGTTAGCACGTATGATGACGTAAGCAGTGCATGCCCTCCCGGAAGCCATAGAGAATGCATTGCAGCGCCCCCGTTCGAAAAAAAACATCTTTGAATGTAAGTCTATGGGCCACTCGGGGCGATTCTCAGCCGGAGTGAAATCGCCCAAAAGAGGCGGTACTCCACAGAACGTGACATGACGCTGATTGGACTATATCCAGAGGCTGACAGTGACGGCTAGCGTGACTCTGTGGTTGAATGACATTGGTGGTGCGTCGCCCAATCGCCCTAATGAAGAAACCGCCCTGGAGTTCAATACATATCCGTGCAAAGAACGGGTACAACTGCTATCTTAAACAACTACGCTGGTTTGGTCGTCTGCGTGCGTATCTGGACGTTAATTTATTTACGGACCCCCCCCAAACAGCTCGCTCTGATTCGATGAAAATAAAACAGCCGACAAAAGCCACAGCTCACTTTGATTCGATAAAAATAAATAATTAACACGCCTGGAAGAGAGCGATAGCATATGTTTGGCAAGGTCTGCGCCGCAGTGCTGCAGTGCACTGTGGGCGCCGACCCTGCGCTGTGTGAGTGTGGTGTGTAAGCAAGTGTGCGAATGGTAGTTACGCTAATATTACGTTTATTTATGTAAAAAATGGGTGCTGCGTGCTGCGATTAGTGGAGTCCCCAAACAACTTTACCTTAGAGTAGGCAGGGGTCGCTATACAGTGAGTCTTAGCGGACTGAGCTGCCAGCTTCACCTGCCGGGACCACGGCCAGTTGCGTAGCGCCCCCTATAGTTTCGCCCATGGGTCAATACCCCCATGGGCAACCGAGCTGACTGATTCATGGGTACAATGGGTACTATCCGGCTTATTACCATTATTATGTATTGACGTTCATCACGTCTCCATGGACGGCATGCTGCTGCTGGTAAGGGCATGTGTTGCATAATATGCAGCATGTGTCCGCGTATCATGTTTGCCACAGATGCAGTTGGCATTACTGTACATTTTTCATGTTTTGGAGTGCCAATCCCATGCACTTTGAAATGTAATACACTGTCTAAAAAGGTCGCAGCCCGCCCCCCGCCGCTGTCACTCTCTGGCCGTTGCACAAGCCATATCGGAATTTGCGACATGCTAAAACAATGAGTACAGTGTGAACACCACCCGGTTAACTCCCGATCAAATGGCATTGGAAAGTGATCTTTATGGAATATTATGGGTAACTGACCACGGGTATTTTGGAACTCTTCATGAGTAGGCGAGGTCGGCATTGTAAGTCTCACAATACCTTAGAACGCCGGTGGGGTATGCCCTCCACTCGGGGTAAGACAAATTTTGTCAATATAGTATACGTCATGCAATGTTCTATCTGCAAGCTGCCATAACTTAAACGATCCCCGATTTTTCGATTGAGAAATTGGGTTACCCACACCTCTGATACCATATGTGGGAACGCCAAAAATCTGATGCATACGTACAACCCCCACAATGGGAATACATAAACGTAAACACACCACAAAATACATTTTAATATAAGAAAAAAATAGGTGGCCCCATAGCGCATCTGTCTGTGTGTGTACATAAAGACGGAGGATGCAGGGGCCAACCTGTGTGCGATCGAACGGTGCAATTGCTGACCAATGTCACTGTGGATGGCGCACATGCTGACGCACACCGGAGCTTTTTCTTTGCGATGCAAGGGCATGGTGGATGGTGGAGCGCATATGGATGGTGCGTTACTAATAAAATAAAACAAACCGCTGGAAGCAGCCATGCGAGCAGGCTACCTTGGAGCTATCGACGAATGGTTTGCGTGTCTGGAAGAAGCCTCGCTCTTTCAGATGCCGTACCAGCTTCGTCAACTCTTCGCTACGATACTGCTGTATTCCATGCCAGCAGATACGAAGGCTCTCTGGGATAAATTCTATGACGAAATGGCTCGCGATTACGAGTACCAGTACCGCCCAGCTGACCAACAAAGAAGAAATGGTAAATCTTCTTGGTTCTTTCGGTAAAGTCACGTAGAAGGGAAGTAATACAATAAAAAAATTTAAACATAATAAAAATAATTCTCACGACGTTTCGGCCACAACGCAAGCAACCGTCCTCAGGTGAAAACCAGGTTCTGTCGAGGCGACAGCGTCTGAATGAAACAGCACACGTGCTTGGAGCATATATATAAGCTGGGTTGGAAGGGGGGGAAATGGCGACTTCACAATAAAATGTGCATATCAAGAGGAATTTAGCATATTTATGGGAAATGCAGGTATGTGATTTGTACTACTTATGCCCGGCATTATGCATGATTAGCAGCAGCAAAGGGAGGGGATATAGGAATGCAGGTATGGATTAGTACTACTTATGCCCGTGCATTATGCAGGATTAGCAGCATCAAAGGGAGGGGATATGGGAAATGCAGGTATGTGATTAGTACTATTTATACCCGTGCATTATGCAGGATTAGCAGCATCAAGAAAATAAAGAAATGGTAAAGTTCAAGACCCTTCACAGCCTCCACGAGTTCCTCACGGCAGGTGGGATCGCTCTGTCGGACTTTGACGACCTCCTGCAGCTTTCCGAGTACCCACACTTGGTCTTGGACTCGCTGCTTGAGAACAACCATATCCGCCGCGAATTGGACACGAAGGACTTCCCATTCGACTTTGGTGCAAACAGTTCCCCATTGTCCCAGCCTTCGCGATGACCATCAACAAGGCGCAAGGGCAAACTGTTCACAACCTGGGATTATATCTACCAACGCCATGCTTCTCGCACGGCCAACTGTACGTGGCACTATCGCGAGTCACGGCAAGATCCAACATCAAGGCGCTTATTGAGGGACCTGACGACGAGGAGGAAGACGGAGTGTACACGAAGAATATCGTGTATCGCCAGATATATTTGAATAAATTTCGATTTAAAGCTTTCGTGACTGCAGGGATCCATCTTCTTGGTTCTTTCGGTAAAGTCACGTAGAAGGGAAGCAATAAAATAATAAAATAAAAAATAATAAATAAAATAATTCTCACGACGTTTCGGCTACAATGCAAGCAGCCGTCCTCAGGTGAAGAATGAGACACTACCAAGCTAGGAGCTTATATATACGCTGCGTTGGAGGTGCAAGAGCGCCTTAACAAAAAGAATGTGGCATATGAAGAGGAATTTAGCATATTCATGGGAAATGCGTAGGAGGTGGGTGGGGGTTTCATAGTCATATTATGCCCATGCATTATGCAGGATCAACAGCACCAAGGTGGGGGTGCAGTAGCATTAAACAAAGGAAAAGAATGTTAATAGTATGTAGCTGCAGTTACTAAACAACAATGTAGAAAACTAAAGTATAAACTACACAAAAAACTAAAGTATAAACTGCATAGCACCATCAGTATACTTACTATACTCTACAATAAGCTGAGTTACTAACAGCAAGTAATACATTACAATTCTACGTCGTAAAATTATATAATATGCTTCCATCTAAACTTTATTCACTTACATCACACGAGCATACACCGTACTATATACTGCCATAGATAAACCCAACATTAAATTACATACTGTATTGCTATAAACCCACCCTATACCTTATACATTTAATATAACACTATGTATTATTCTACTCACCCTAATGTGTATCACACTGCTATATGTTTACTATACAATTGCGATACTATATATTACTTTGTACATTGTATTAAGCATATAAATGTTATACTATTTGTTATTATACGCTGTACCATTGACCGTCGTATCAATGGGTGAGTCATGGAGGGGAAACTTGCTGCGGAGCAAAGAATCCATTCCCTGCGGAGAATACAATGCCAGTGAGTGGAACGCGGTCTGAAAGTCACCATAAACGTGAACACAATCAGTTAAGATCCGAAATGGTTTATTACGTCCTGCCAATGATTGCTAAGCCAGAATCCATCTTCTCGGTTAAAATTGTCTCTGTGTTTGTATATGTGGATCGCCTCATGAACGAATCTCTCATGATAGCCAGATGGCTTGCAGAGAACCTCTGTCTTGGAGAAGTCAATGTCATGTGAGCCCATTGAGTTGTAACAGTGATCTGCCACGGCTGAGGTGTTTGTCCTACCGTGTTTCAAGTCCGCTTTATGTTCACGGATGCGGTCCGAGACATGTCGTTTGGTTTCCCCAATGTAACTGCTACCACAGAGGGAACTTAGTTTGTAGACGCCAGGGTACTGTATGTCTGGAACCACATCTTTTACAGACAGTACCAGATCACGGATTTTATGTACTGTGCTGAATCGGACCTGGATCTTGTGTTTAATCAGGATTTTGGAGATCTTTTTTGTGACCCCAGCAATGTAGGGTAAGGTGATGGTCTTGAAAGGCTCCTCAACAGGATTCTTCTTGATGGTTGGAGTGATGGCTTTGCGGATTGTGTAGTCGGAGTAACCATTAGCCTTAAGAGCTTGGCGTACGTGTTTGAGTTCACTGGCAATGTGTTCCTGGTCGAAGATGCATTGGGCTCTATGATATAGAGTCTTGATGAGAAGAATTCTCATCAAGACAACGCTGAGCTCTGGCATCATGAAATTTTCACAGCATTTACTGTCTGGAATTCTAAGTGAACGCGACTATTTTCAGCTCACCTTGTCATTCCCTTACCGAGTGGCCAAATCGAGTTTACGTAGAAGTGGGTTAAGGTTGAATTGAGTGAAAATATCCGATTTAGGTAAATTGATTTGTTTTGGCTTTTTTCATTCTTTCAATAATAAAACATATTTCAGTGAAATAAGGGAATATTAAATGAATTCAAGACAAGAATCCAAGTCCCGGGCGAAGCCGGGTAGTGAAGCTAGTTACTATTAAACCCCAATGATCCAATCGAAATTTGGGATTTCGATCGGATCGTTGGGGGGCATGTGCCACCCCACCCCCACTGGCTTCACCACTGTCACACACTGGCATGGTTCACAGGTGGTGGTGTGTCTAGACCCACACCTGGCCACCTTCACCTGCTCAGTATTAATGCTTCCTCACTCTACCAAGTAATTCATTGAGGTACAATTAACATCGCCGAGGCTGCGTGTCTCTCTCTCCCCGTGGTTGCGTGGATTTCCTTCCCGATCCCCCGGTTTCCCCTCCACATGTAGCGAGTGAGCACCGCCACGCGTCTAGAGTCAACACCGCCACGCTGATGACAAGCCTCACCTTGTTGTTGTTGTGGGCAGGTCGCTTCTGAAAACAAGAGCGGTAGAGCAGCTAAAGCGGGCTTGGCCTGGTAAAATATAAAAAAAAACTGTGTCAATATTTAAAGTAAAACAAAGTTACAAAGTAGTTAGCCAGGTCAAGACAAATTATCTTAAGCAAGAGAATTGAAGCAAATGCGATCAGGCGAGGGCAGGAGGCAAGGCCCCGCGTTGTCAAGTTCCTACCTGGACATCGCTTTCATGCTCGCTGCTACTCAATTGACATCCCAACAAGAGAGAGCGCGAGGCTCTACCTCGGTAAACAACAACCATCACCATCAAAACAACCACACACCACCACCACAACCGCGATGAGAATTTCTCACCTCGGATTTCAGTGCACGGGCGGAACGGCAGCTTCCTGTTACCTCACTACGTCACGCGGCAGTAGGAGGTGACATGACGTCACTTGCGGGGTACGAAAACACTTTCCTCCCACAATGAGCGGTTTAATTTAAATAAATTATGCTAATGAGCCGCCCCATCTGTAGGAGGGGTGGGGCGCGGGTGACGGACTCGTCGCAATAAACTCGCGACGGCTTTCACGAATACGTTATGTTAATGAGCGGCCAGTCACCGGGCGGAGCTTTGCCCAAATAAAGATTGTCACTGGAACAGATATCGGCAGCGGCTGAGGGGAGGTGACGTCACTCTCAAGAGCGCGGTGGTCGGTAGTGGGTGACATGACGTCACTAGCGAGGTCGACTTCCCCGGGCGTTTGACGTTGATGAGGTCACGCTAAGCGGTGACGTCAGAGAGCGGGGTCAAAGTTCAAGTTTGTTGACAGAAGGGGAGCGGCAGTGTCGTGGTGAGCGCTGCGCTCCGCACCGACCAGCCGAGTTCCATTCCCGCTCGTGGCCAACACCGCCAGTGACGAGTCTCTGAACCGGTCCTGAGCCTCCCCTACGTCGACTCAGCCTCAAACGAGGACCCGGTGCGGTGTGTAAACATCGCCACGAGGGAGACAAAGGTGACCGGGCGTGGTGCTGGCCACCCACCCCTCGTGTGCCGTCCCACCCTTATTAGGTGCTCGCTAACAGCACTTGCCCCTACAGTTTGTTAAGGCTATACGGGGATCTTTGTGTTAGGTGCTCACGAACGGCGTGTGCGGCGGCGTGTGAGTTGTGCTGCGTATGACCTGTGCGTGAGAATGAGCTGTGTGTGAGAGTGAGCTGTGAGTGAGTTGTGTGAGAGAGCTGTGAGTGAGAGTGAGCTGTGTGTGAGAGTACGCTGTGTGTGTGAGTGAGCTGTGTGTGAGAGAGCTGTGAGTGAGAGTGAGCTGTGTGTGAGAGTACGCTGTGTGTGTGAGTGAGCTGTGAGTGAGCTGTGTGTGAGAGTGAGCTCTGTGTGAGTGTGAGAGTACACTGTGTGTGTGATGAGCTGTGAGTGAGAGTGAGCTGTGAGTGAGAGTGAGCTGTCAGTGAGAGTGAGCTGTGAGTGAGCTGGGAGTGAGAGTGAGCTGTGTGTGTGAGTGAGCTGTGTGTGAGTGAGCTGTGAGTGAGAGTGAGCTGTGAGTGAGAGTGATCTGAGTGTGAGTGAGCTGTGAGTGAAAGTGAGCTGTGTGTGAGAGTGAGCTGTGTGTGAGCTGTGAGTGTGAGAGTACGCTGTGTGTGTGAGTGAGCTGTGAGTGAGAGTGAGCTGTGAGTGAGAGTGAGCTGAGTGTGAGTGAGCTGTGAGTGAGAGTGAGCTGTGAGTGAGAGTGAGCTGTGTGTGAGAGTGAGCTGTGTGTGAGGCTGTGAGTGTGAGAGTACCTGTGTGTGTGGTGAGCTGTGAGTGAGCTGTGAGTGAGGAGAGGTGAGCCGGTGTGAGCTGTGAGTGTGAGAGTACGCTGTGTGTGTGAGTGAGCTGTGGGTGAGAGTGAGCTGTGTGTGAGAGTGAGCTGTGAGTGTGAGAGTGAGCTGTGTGTGTGAGTGAGCTGTGTGTGTGAGTGAGCTGTGTGTGAGAGTGAGCTGTGAGTGTGAGAGTACGCTGTGTGTGTGAGTGAGCTGTGAGTGAGAGTGAGCTGTGTGTGTGAGTGAGCTGTGAGTGAGAGTGAGCTGTGAGTGAGAGTGAGCTGTGTGTGAGAGTGAGCTGTGTGTGAGAGTGAGCTGTGAGTGAGAGTGAGCTGAGTGAGAGTGAGCTGTGTGTGAGAGTGAGCTGTGAGTGAGAGTGAGCTGTATGTGAGAGGGAATGAGCTGTGTGAGCTGCGTGTGTGTGTGTGAGTCAGTGTGAGTGAGCTGTGTATGTGTGTGAGCGAGCTGTGTGAGAGTGAGCTGTGTGTGAGTTGTGTTTGAGAGTGAGCTGTGTGTGTGAGAGAATGAGCTGTGTGTGAGCTGCGTGTGAGAGTGCGTGATTCAGTGTGAGCTGTGTGTGAGTGAGTCAGTGTGAGTGAGCTGGGTGTGTGAGCTGTGTGAACGTGAGCTGTGTGTGAGTGAGCAGTGTTTGTGAGTGAGCTGTGTACGAGTAAGCTGTGTGTGAGTGAGCTGTGTGTGATTGAGCTGTGTGTGAGTGAGTCAGTGTGAGTGAGCTGTTTGTGAGAGTGAGCTGTGTGTGAGAATGAGCTGTGTGTGAGCTGCGTGTGAGAGTCCGTGAGTCAGTGTGAGTGAAATGTGAGTGAGTCAGTGTGAGTGAGCTGTGCATGTGAGCTGTGTGAGGGAGCAGTGTGTGTGAGCTGTGAGAGTGAGCTGTGTGTGATTGAGCTGTGTGTGAGAGTGAGGTGTGAGTGAGCTGTGTGTGAACTGTGAGAGTGAGCTGTGATTGAGCTGTGTGGGAGAGTGAGTTGTGTGTGTGTCAGTGTGAGTCAGTGTGAGTGAGCTGTGTGTGAGAGTGAGCTGTATGTGAGAGTGAGCTGTGTGTAAGAGAGAATGAGCTTTGTGTGTGTGAGTTGTGTGTGAGGGTGAGCTGTGTGTGTGAGCTGCGTGAGTGTGTGAATCCGTGCGAGTGAGCTGTGTGTGAGTGAGCTGTGTGTGAGGGTGAGCTGTGTGTGTGTGAGCTGTGTGACAGAATGAGCTGTGTGAGCTGCGTGTGAGTGTGTGTGAGTCAGTGTGAGTGAGCTGTGTGTAGGGGTTATTACGGGAGGAACAGCGGACAACAAACACAGGGCTGTCGGCACTCACATACACGGGTGGTCACACCGACGTCCGCATCAGTTATTGCCCACGCCCCCAGCCCTTGGAGGCGATCCCTATAAAAGGTGGAACCCAAAGAGCTCGAGGGCAGTTCGACACGAAGCTGACCAGTGAAGATCCAAGACTCGGAGATTAGGCCCTGAGACTCCCCGGTCTCGCCGTCCTTATAAGGGCCGAGCCGGGTAAGCCAGTGGCGCGGCCCAGGAGCTTCCAGACCGCTGCCCTTGTCAGGGCAAGGCTGGTTAGCTGGTGCCGAGATCTGTGCTTGCCAGGGCGAGATCAGTCAGCCTCCCGTAGCCCAGTAGAGGAGGACTGGGGGACAGGACAGAGGGCTTAGTACTAGGGTGGGTTTCCCATAGTACGGGTGAAGGGGCCGATACCCCTTCAACTATTGTATCTGTCCCGGAGTTAATAAACAGTGTGTCTCAACTTCGACATCGTCTCCTCTGCTACTTACTACATCTGGTGTTAGAAGTGGTCCAAGCATGGATACGAGACGGAAGACTCGTGCCCAAGACCCAGGAGAGGATGACGACGAGGGAGGGGCAGTGCAAGACATCGCCGCCGACGTACCTGCACAACTGCTGCCGGCTCCAACATCGGCGGGGTCGTCGGAGAGGGCCGGGACGTCGACTGACGAGTTGGCGTTGGCTCACTCGCGGCTGGCGGAGCTCTTGTATGCAACGGCCGCTATGCTCGAACAAATAACTCGCCTGGGGCCGGGAGGAGCGACACGGCGGGAAGATGGACAACGCCCGCCAGAAACTCCCGCCTTTACAATAGCGGGGCGACTCGAAACTCCCGCCTCACAGACAGTAGGGGCGGAGGGAGGAGTCCCAGCTCGTCACGCGGGAGACGGTGCCCAGCCAGCAGCCGCCACGTCATCGGCGGAGGCGGGTCGCGGGTGGCGGCCTATCAGGGGTTGCGACGTCACCACCAGCGGACGCCAGCACCGACCAAGCCCCGACCAACACGTCACTGACGGCGCGACACCCATTAGAGTCCGCCATTGCTCATACTGTACGGGGACGCGCTACGGATGCTGCAAGAGGATCGGAGACGGAGCCGACATTCCAGCAACGTCTGCCGGCCCTGCAGGTATTTGTTGCAAGCGACGGCGATTGGGGGGGGTTCCAGCGCCGGTTCTTGGCCCACCAAGAGATGGCAGGCTGGTCGGACAACGAGGCGCTGTGTGCTCTCCCGGCGTTATTGGACGGCGACACCCTGGGCACCCTCACTGCTGCACCCAAGTCGGCACGCTCCACCATTCAGTCGGCGCTGCAGCTGCTGGCCACCGTTTATGGGCCGCCTTCTGATTGTCGCCAGCTCTTCTATGAGCGGCAGAAGGGTGACAAGGAATCGCCACTCGCTTATCGCACGGCCCTGCTGTCATTGGCGAAAGACGCTTTCCCGCGCATGGATGAAGAGGGGATCGATGCGATGGTGGCCGAGAAAATTTTGCTGCTGGCTGACGATCTGGACTTCACCATCTTAGCGCAGGACGATGCGGATATGTCATCACTGCGGGCTGCAAGGCACATTCACGCCAATCTCATCTCCCAGCGGAGGAAGGCGAACAAAGCTGCTGCACGACACACCGTGGCGGCGACCTCTTCCGGAATGGAGGGAGCCTTCGCTGCGGATCGTTCTGCAGGATGGCGATCTGCCGAGCGTCCAGCTCGGGACGTCCCAAGCCACCGAGACCAGCCCAAGTCCTCTGGAACGCTCGTCGTCTGCTATAATTGTGGCCTCCGGGGTCACGTGGCGTCCGGATGCCGGGCTCCTCGACAGCGCGGTGCGAGACCTGGAGCTGCGGACGGCCCTCCTCACAAGCCTTCGCAACATCCTCGGGCAAGTCATGGCACCCCACATGTTCGGCCTGCACACACACCCACTTTCCTATCACATGGTCCGGCACACAATTCTCGGGGGTTGGGTGCTGGTGCGTCGGGTCGCGGCATGTCGGGGAGGGCGCTCCAACCGGGCCAATGGTCCGAGTTGGCTCACCGAGTTGTGGCTGCATCGGCGGGGTCGTCCGTTGTCGCGGGACATATTGACGGGGTGGAGGTACGGTTATTGGTCGATACGGGAGCTTCGGCAACTATCATTTCGGATTTGATTTATAATATTCTGCCCGTTCAGAGTCGCCCGTTGCTCCCTGTCGATATACCGTTTTACGCTGCAAATGGGGGCTCGTTGGGTATTATCGGTCAAATTCGAGCGCAAATTTCCATAGGGGACATTAAACTATCTGGGCCGGTGTTCGTCTCTTCCTCGCTGGCTATTCCGTGCCTGTTGGGGACAGACTTTTTGGCCAAATTGCCCATCA